CTGCTCAAAGCAGGATCAGGTTACTCATGGCCCTCTCCAGGCCAGTTAAGAGCACCTTCAGGAATGGAGTTTCCTCACCTCTCTGGGCTGCTGTCCCTGTGCTTGATCAGCCACATGCCAAAAACATTTTCCTAATACTTCATTGGAATTTCCCATGTTGCAATTGGTGTCTGTTGCCCTTCATCCTTTCACTGTGTGTCTCTCTTCTTTACAATCCCATTGGACCGTTGAAGTTACAATTAGATCCACCACCGCCAGCCCAGCCTTCCCTCCCCAAGGCTGAACAAATCCAGAGCTCAGCTCTCCTTGTAAGTCCTGTGCACCAGTCCCCTAAACATTGTGTTCACCTTCTCCTTGATCCACTCCAGTTTGCCTTGTACTGGAGGGTCAACGGTACTCCACGTGCAGGCTCACCTGGGCGAAGACAGAAGAAGTACGTCACTGAGCCCACGGACTGTGTCCTCGCTAACGCAGCTCGGTCTGTGGCTGAACTTCATTGCCGCAAGTGTGTGCCTCCTCAGCATGAGCCATGTGGAGGTTCGCCCAGCCCTTCTTCTGCTGGTCAGGTTGTGTTTGGAGCTGGGTGACACAGCTGGCACTGAGGAGCAACACAACGGGCACTGAGGAGTTATGGCAGCTGTTAGCATTGGAGGACCTGGCACCCAGGCTCTTGCCTTTGACACTTGACCTCCCAGTGCTGACACCATGATTGTCGCACTCAGCTACAATTCTGGTGTTGCTCTGCTCTGAGTGCTCATTCCCACCAGGGCTGTGCTTTCCACGGAGTGCTGTGGTGCAGCTGGCACAGTGATGTGGCACGAGTCCTGCGGGAGTGCTTCCTGTTTTATGGGGCACAGAAGCATGATGAGAAAGGGAGCAGCAGTACAAGGCATGGCTTTGTTTTCAAATGTTACCAGCTAAGGTCCCTCAGGCAGACTGGCAGCTTTCCAGGGGTGGAATTTTTTAGACACCCATGGATGCTTGCTTTGCCTTGGGAAGCAGAGTCAGGCTGCTGCAGCGCTGACCTCGTTCCCTGCTGCATTTACCTCATTTTCTTCTGCTGGAGGAAGGCAGCTCTTCACACAAGTAACATCTATCTACCTGGTGAGAAAAAAGGACATGGGTTTTGGGGACAGAAAACCATATAGTTTCTTGCAGGGAGGAACCACGAGGAGCATTTCACTTTGTTCAGTGGGTTGGGTTACCTCCCGCGAAGGCCTTCAATTATCTTTCCAAGCGACACCCAGTACTTTCTTCATCACCAGAGAGCTCTTCTGTTTGCATCCTGGGTCCACACGCTGGGCTTTGGCTGCCCCTGAGAGCCCTTGGCATTTCTCACACGCTGGCAATTGTTCCTGCAGCCTTTGAGGCAGAAATCCCAATTCTCACAAAAATATGGTACAGTGATCAGAGATTAGCAGCTGGAACTGACCAGGGCCAGACAATGCTTTGAGCAACTTCTCTGCCTGTCTATTTCTCCCCACCTCTTTTCCTGTTGTGTTTTTCTGTCTTTCTTTTCTAGCTCTGTACAATTCCCCACCAGGCAGGGCCCTGGCGTCCCTCCGTGCTGGAGAGACTTGGACCAGAGGTGATGCAGCCACAAGCTGTGTGGATTTTCTCTCCGTGGGGATCCTCCCTCTCCTCCATCTCGTTCCCTCAAGGATCACTCCGAAAGGAAGGCAGGGTTGGTGCAGCACCCCTCAGAGCTGCTGAAGGGACATGGCATTCTCCAAGCTGGCACCAGTGGCTTGGAGACCACATGCAGATGGGGCTTCGCCAGCAAGAGGGGCATGGGAGGAGAGCTGATGAAGGGAAAGACCAGTCCCTCCTCCCATTAGCACCATCTGGAGCCAGACGATTTCCCTGACACGCAGCTGAGTCACAAAGCTGTGCAGCTGTTTTGATGGGGACAGGGTTTACCCACGAGCAGGCACACTGCTTCTCTGATGGTGGCACAGCAGGACCAGTGTGCCATGGGGACGGTGGGAAGGGGGGGAAAGAAAAGAAAGAGGAGGGTGGCCTGGTGGTCAGGACACTGCCAGGGCCTTGGAGGATGTGGATGTGAAATGGCTTTCCTGACCCACATGGCTTTAGTTGCCCCTTTAATCCCACCACCTCTTAGATAAACAAAGACCAGTGTGCAAAATTAACATCACCTCTTTGAGAAACTACCTACTGTCATGATGATAACGCAGCCCTGTGCATGGGGCAACAGATGCAAATGTGTCAATCGAATCACCTCATACAGCCCAGAGGACTTATCCTGACCCCAAAGTGAAGGGAACACACTGCACACCACTGCATTGCATGTGTTTCCCTATTGTGTCCTACCGCTGACTCTGCCTCAGCTGGTTTAGCCTCAGAGAAGATTTACACTGGAGGGAAA